GCTACTGAAATCTAGTGAGTGGTGCCAGGGAGGCTGCCAAACATCCTATAAAGCACAGGACAGCTTCTCACAACAAAGAATTTCCAGCCCAAATGTCAACAGTGCCAAAATTGAGAAACCCTGCTCTAGGGAATATAATATATATCTTTAAGTTAAATATTAGTCCATATTAAATAAAATGTAAAACTTTGAAACTGTATAGGTCTATTTAGCCATTCAGCCACCCCACACCCAATCACCTTTAATGCTAAAGGCAATACTATAGTTTTGTTTTAAATAGTCATATATAAAGACACTAAAAAGAAAAAAGTAGCCTGTTATATTTACCTAGATAGTTACCATTTCCAATGTTCTTCAATCATTGTGTATATTCAAGTTTCCCTCTGGTATTATTTTCCTTCAGCCTGACAAACTTCCTTTAATATTTCTTATAGTAAAGGTCTCTTGGTGACAAATTCTTAGTTTCCTTTCATCTGAAAATGCTGTCTCACCTTCATTCTTGAAAGATATTTTCACCAGATACAAAATTCAGGATTGGCAGGTTTTATTCCTTTCAGCACTTTAGAAGTTTTGTCTTCTGGTCGCCATGGTTTCTGGTGAATACGCCACAGTCACTTGAAGTGTTGTCTCTGTATACGTAATGCGTTGTTTTTATCTGGAAGCTTTCAAGTTCTTCTCTTTATCAATGGTCTTTGACAGTTTGACTCTGATGTGTCTAGGCATGGTTTCTTCATATTTATCCTGTTAATGGCTTGCTGAGCTTTTAAAATTTGTATCATTCACCGAATTTGGAAAGTTTTGGAACATTATTTCTTTCAATATTTCTTTTATCTTATTCTCTCTATTCTTTCCTTCTGGATCTCCAATTACACAAACCGAGGGTGCCAAAAAAATGTAAGCACATGACTTGTATTCATCTTTCGTTATCGGTATATATTGATTACTACAATTTTAATAGTTTTTTTCCTTTCTTAAAATGTGTATACATTTCTTTGGCACACTCTATACACTAGGCATTCTGCTATTGTCCCACAGGTCCAAGGCTCTGTTTATTCTTCTATAATTTCTCCCTTCCCCCTTCTTTCTGCATAATTTCTATTGCTCTAATTTCAAGTTCACTGATTCTGTCTTCTGTCATCTACTCTCTACTATTTAGCTCATCCAGTGAATTTTTTATTTTAGATATAATTTTCAAAAAGTTCTAAGAGTTCCACTTGATTCTTTTTAATATTTTCTATTTTTTTGTTGAGATTTCCTGTCCTTTTTTTTTTTTCATTTTAAGCACACTTTCCTTCATGGAAAGTTGGGCAAGTTTAACAGCTGCTTTAAAGTTTTTATGTGATAATTTGAATATCTGAGTCATCTTGGGGTTGGTACTTACTGATTGTCTTTTTTATTTTTTATTTTTATTATTATTATTTTTTTTTTAGCTAAGCCATCCTGCCACCTGTTGGCAGCTGAGCGACATCTCAGCTCGGGCTGGACTCAAACCACTGTTGCTCAGAGCTCAAACCCTTGAGCAAGCTCTTAACCAACTGAGCCACTCGGCCGGCCCAAATTCATTGTCTTTTCTCTTGATGATGGGTCACAATATCCTGGCTGAATTTTGAATTGTATGATTGTATCCTAGCCATTGTGAATGTTATGTTATAGAAACTCTGCATTCTATTACATTTCTTTGAAGAGCACTAATGTTTCTGTTTTAGCAGGCAATTAACTTGGTTGTTAGACTTAAACAGCAAACTCTGTAACCCACGAGGTGCATGGCAGCTCAGGTATTAGTTCTGACTGCTCTCTGTCTGATCCTTGTAAGCATGGTTCAAAAGTCAGCCATAGAGTCAGGGTTGTATACAGAATCAAGGTTCCCCTTCTCTGGCCCTCTGGTTGCTGAAGGCCCTTCCCCTGGTTCCTCCCACCAGAGAGAAAGCAGGCTTTCAATTGGAATGTTAGCTGTTCCACACCATCGATGCCACAGCTGTGCTGACCTCAGGACAAGGCCACCCAAACAGGAAACTCATATGCCATTTACTTTCTCCAAGTTTTGACTCCCCTCCAAAATATGCTGCTTTCTTGTCATTCACCAGAGCCTTCAGGTAGTAGTTTTTTGTATTTTATTCATAGTTTGTCATTGATATCTTCAGGAGGGCTTGTCAGATAGGAGCTACTCCGCCATTACCAGAAGCAGAACCTTATCATCATCTTTTTTTATACATAATTTCTAAAGTGGTAGATTGGGGAAGTACAGATATACTGTACATGTGTATTTCAGCAAAGTATCTGAAATAATATTTCATGATATCTTAGAATAAAAGCATGTTGGGCCGGCCGAGTGGTGCGTTGGTTAGGAGTTGGCTTGGGACGCCAGCTCTGAGCAGCTGGGCCCTGGTTCCGATTCCACATGAGGGCCAGTGACGCTGAACCCTCTACAGCTAAGATGGTGAACAACAGCTCAACCTGGAGCAGGGCTGTGGTGAGTCGCCGGTGATAGCGTAGGCTGCAGTGGGGCTGACTGGCAATGGGTGTGAGCTTTTGTGAGATGCCGTGAACCGCGGTGAGCGGCCATCCAATGGCCGGCGAGTGACTGCCTCACCTGGAAGAGCGCAATGATAATACCAACATGGGCCAGTGAAGCGACATCCTCCACAACTAGACTGAAGAACAAAAGGACAGCAACTTGTCTGTTCCCCTTCCCCAATTCCCCAACACTGTTCCCCTCCACTAATTCCCCAATAAAATCTTTCAAAAAAAAGAAGAAGAAAAGCATGTTAAAAGTGGAAGGAACTTTAGAGATTATTTTGTAGACATGGAAATTAAGTCCCAGAAAATCAAGGAGCCAACAACATATCTGGGATGCAACACAAGATATCTTTATAGCTAGCTTTAGTACTCTGTTTTCTCAATACCACACGTCTCCTTTGGACATAATAGGTAAGTGGGGACTGGCTAATATTATAATTAAGCAGTTTTTCAGATGATCAAAAAACCTTACTTAAAGAATACTGATCGATAGATGTCTACCTGGCAGAGGATTTCTAATAATATATAGGCCTTATTGTCCTTCTGTCCTGTTCCACATAAATACACACATTTCTACATTCATTCACTCAACAGATACTTACTGCTTGCCTATCACATGTGCTAGGAATATAGTAGGGAACAAAAATGACATGGTCCCTGCCCTTGTGAAGTTTATATTCTAGCAGCTTATATTCTAGCCCAAGAGAGAGCATAAACAATGAATAAGACGCTTTCTACACTGTTGATCCTCTCCTGCTTGAGACTCGCTCTTCCCTTGGCTTTTTCCTCCACTCACTTCTTAAATGGTCCAATCCTTGCCCCCTTTCTCATTTTAGATGTGTTTCCTAGGTAATTTCAACTTTTCTCTATGGTTTCCACAACATTTATGTTGATTACTCTCAATTTTTTATTTTTAACATAGATCTCTCAAATAAGCTCTAAACTATCTCTTGTATATATTTGATGACATGTACCATACCAGCTCTTTGAATCTGCCATCTCCAAAGCTGAACTCAACTCATTCCCTGTCAAATACATTTCGCTTTGTCTTTACCATCTCAGTGGTATCATCTTAGATGCCACACCCTGTTTCACTTCTCATATGCAGTGAGCAGGTCACAAACTCCTTCTATTTCCTGAATCTTTCTGCACTATAACCCCTCTGCTATTGATCCAACCATCTTCTTTACATTTTTACAGTAGCCTCTTAAGCAGTTTCTCAGCATTTTGCATCAGAATTGATTTTCTAGAACACAAATCTAATAATGTCATTCTCCTTTACCTTGTGGATACTTTTATTAGCACTTAATTTATTGTACTTGATTACTTAATGATTAGACTTTAAACAAGTAGAAGGAAGGGGCCATGCTTTGCTCATCTTAAATTTCCATAATCTAGCAATCATAAATTAATACCTTAAATCAAAGCATTAAAGATATTCTCATTAAATCTGTGGATTATGAAATTTTGCAGGAAAATATAACAAAAATTCAAATATACAAGTTGCTTAAATAATTAACTAAACTGAAAAGGAAATTCCTACCAGGAAAAAAGAATTGAATCTAAGTAAAAATAAATAGAGAAAAAAAAATAACCAAAATGTAGGGAGGATCCCTTAATGCATTCTGACTGTTACTTTCTACTTAGGAAATAACTAAGGATTCCTCTAAGGTTGCTGTTAGGTGATAGTTAATCGATACAAGAGAAAAGCATCATGCATTTGATGTTTGCTCTACAGTTTTTAATGCAATAAAGACACTGAATATATACGTAAATACAGGTAGTTACCCACAAAATACAGAAAAAAGCTCCATACCTAAGCATGTAAAATTGCCCTTTCTTTCTCACTTTGTTGCTGTGCACATCTTGGTTCTTTAAAATACATGATGCTCTGGTCCCTACTTCTTGATCCCTCAGGACCCATTTACAGAGGTATGATGGAAGAAGAAAGAATGGGAGCAAAAACCTGCTTCTAGTTACCTGGTCTTAGTAACCCAAATTATAAAAACACAAAGATTATCCCACAGAAACAAAATCGATATTTGTTTCTCTAGTGCTATTTTAGGTACACAGTGGGTTCAACAGAGTTTTCTAGGATGGCTTGGAACCTAACTACTACATATAAAGTTGTTTCTTATGGAAATGCTTTTAAAACACCCAACAATTAACTCAAAACATGTCAGAATTATATTTATGAAGATCTTAATGTTTTATCAGTATCATTTTCAAAATTTTTAACAGTAACACTTAGAATACTGTAAATCCACTAGAAGGAAAATCACTTGAGCTGCAGCACTGAGAACAAATTATGCAAATGTCTGAATAGCAGAGGCTGTAGCACTAATAGCTAACAGATACTTCTTCTAGGCATGAATAAGTCAAATGCATCTTATTAGTCATGAAAAGGAAGTGATCATTTTCACAAGTAAAGGAAGGTTTTTGGTTATTTCTCAGTACCCATAGTTCCCTCAAAAGTTACTCACAGCTGAAGAGTAGAGTTCAAACTCTTGCTCAGGGAGGAAAGAATGCCAGCCATCTTCTATCACTTCAAACATGGGCCGGTAAAAGAAAGGGTACATCAGAGTGATGGAGTCCAGGGTAGACAGTGCCTAGGGGGAAAGGAAATAAAGAAAGGAAAAGGGAACGTACCACAACTTGAAACACTTATTAACTGTCAAATGGGTATTAAACAAATATGACCTAATAATGATAGGCACCCAATATATTTCTCTAACACTGTATGTATCACTAAATACAAATAGAGCTTACTGAAGCTAATTTCCATGTTTTCACATCTAACAAGGTGTCTGGCACATAACATACACTTAGCACTTGCTATGAACAAAAGAGTAAAAAAACGTGCACACCTATTCTAAGAGCAAAATGAAGTGTCTCCTTCATGACATCATTTAATAAAGCCTAGTAAAAGGGTCCAAATATTTTGGGGGATCAGAGAACAGACAGATTTTGGTTAGTCAGTAGAGCCTTGGCTCAAAAGCCTATTATCAACTATATAAACATATGTAAATTACTTAAAATCATCATCTGTTAGTAACTGTAAAATAGGGTGACATAGCTTAATGGCCAAAGAGTCAGATTGGAGTCAAGACTGCTAGACTCAAATTCCAGATCCCAGTGCAACAGTGGTTAAGTAATATAACCACTCCATGCCTCAGTTTCCTCAGCTGTAAAATAGGAGCACTAAGAGAGAAAATGTGTAACAGGTCTAGAACAGTGCCTGTCACATAATAAATACTAAAATAATTTTAGCTATTACATATTATATGCTCCACGTATGCTCCAACAAGTGTTCATTTTCTCCCTTCCTAAAGTATTATGACATTTGGTCAGGTATCATATCTTTATGCTACGCTGACCCATTTTCAAGCTGGGGCATTAACTCTGGTCCCACGATGAGCCTATATTTATCCGGAGCATTTGAATGCTGGGTGACAATGCCAGGAAAGCTGACTACATGGGGAAGAACAGACAGATCATCCTCTATCAAGTGGCAGTTTCCTCTTTCTGACAGAGGTGTTATGAAAAGTATTTTTAAGGCTGGACAAAAAGGCACCAAAATCAATTAGCATAATTCAAACTGCAGTAATTATAGAGACAGTCACCTGAAGGGGGGAGGGGGCCCAACATCATGCTAATACCCCAAAACTCTCAGAATGAAGCTACCTCCTTTCAGGTCACAGAAGATCAGACTCACTGAAGGATGGACCCATGACTTATTAAAAAATAGACTAAACATGTAGTTTAGCAGTTTAACAAAAACATACCCATTCAAAGTTATTCTTCTATCTATCTATAAGTCATGAAGCCTTCCCCCCAAAGCTCATAAAACAGAAAATACAGAGAAACATGCCTATATAATCCATTATCCACTTATATTGTCTTTGGCTGCCAATCACGCCACATAAAAGCAGAAAGGCCAGTGTTCATGTCTGATTTGACAAGAATTGTCATCGGTCAGTACAATTTATTGTTTGTTTATTTATTTATAAGATATTCTTTGCACCATTTAAAACAATTTTTTTAGCTTTACTGATGTATAATTGACAAAACTGCAAAATACTTAAAGTGTACAATGTGATGATTTAATACACATACACATTGTGAAAGGATCCCCCCCCCCATTAACACATCATCACCTCACATATTTACCTTTTGTTGTTGTTTTTAAGAACATTTAAGTTCTAAACTATAGTCATCATGTTATGCATTATAGCCACGGACCTTATTCATCTTATAGCTGAAAGTTGTAACTTTTACCAGCTTCTCCCTATTCCCCCCACCCCACCCCCCAGCCCCTGGCAACCACTTTTCTATTGTTTCTATGAGTTAGACATTTTTTTAGATTCCACATATAAGTGATGCCATGCAGTATTTGTCTTTCTCTGTCTGGCTTATTTCACTTAGTATAACACCCTCCAGGTTCATCCATGTTGTCACAAATGGCAGGGCTGTTGTTTTTTTTAAGGCTGAATAATGATAAAATATATATATATATAAACACACACACACACACACACACACACACACACACATCACATTTTCTTTATCCATTCATCTGTCGACACTTAGATTGTTTCCATACCTTGGCTATTGTGAATAACGCTGCAGTGAACATGGGAGTACAGACATCTCTTTGAGATAACGGGTTTGTTTCCTTTGGAGATATACCCAGAAGTGGAAGTGCTGAATGATATGGTAATTCTATTTTTACTTTCTTGAGGCATCTCCATACTGTTTTCCATTGCGGCTGGTATAACCATTGTTTTAAATGCAAGTCAGCATTCACTCTGACAGGAGTAGCACTCATGCTTTAACTTCTCATGATTACATGTTATGTCACTAGAGATAGGATTTTTCCTGTAAACACATTACTGCTGCAAGAACTGAAAACATTTCAACCCCAGAAGCAGTTGAACTATAGAGAGAAAAGCTTCATCAGACTTCTTGCTACAATTTAGGAAACTGAGCCCTTGCCAGTTATTCTTCCAATGGAATTCTATTTGTGGCAGCAGAATATATTTGGGTATACAAACTCTTAATTACAAAAAATAGCTCAACTATGCTATACAAGAATTTTACTCCCAAATTATGTCAAGATATATGGGGGGTGGGGGGTGGGGGTGGGAATTGGATGCCAGAAAAAGGCTAGAGGTCAAGTTCACTATGTGTATGTACTGAGCTGTAAAAACCATCAGGAAAGCATTCGCTTTCTGAAGTCAAATTATGAGAATGGCTCATAATATACAGCTTCTTTTCAGCCATAAGAGCTACATAATCAGTCAGTTTCTAAAGAGCTTTAGATAATATCTACAGCTAAGTAAACAATTGACTCATGTCTGATGCCAACAAAGCTAAGTAGATGCAATCAGAAAGTGGAGTAATATGCTTTGCCCTATTTTTTCACCTCTATGCTTCACTATGGGCAATTTCACTAACATCCACCAACCAGTTCCCTTACAAGTTGTAAAAGGGACAAGAAGAAAAATGTAGACAGGTCAGTGAAAATCCAATCCCACAAATGAAAAAAAACACATGCTAACTGAAGTGGGTCAGTAGCATTTCCCTGCCCACATTAGCAGGATAGTATTTCAATTTAACAGACTAGAAGGCACTTGCACTTCTCACTCATGGTAGCAAATTCAGCCAAATCAACATTACAGTGTTACTTCCAAATGACAGATATGTAAGACAAACAGTTTAGCTCATCTTCTCACTTCCTTAAGTAAAATTCAGCAAAGGCAGAAAGAAAAAAATCTTGTATGCCAATTTTCTCTGTACCACAACAGTTGTTCCTTTATTTCTCTATTCTTGTTTAAAACCAAACAAAATCCTACTTACAGATTTTTAAGCCTTTCTGCCCCCCTTTTAATAATTAAGCCAATAACATTTATTTTGGACACAAAACCCAGATTAGTCACTCAAAGACAGAAACAAAACAAAACAAAACAAAACAGTATCTCTATAATTATCTAGAAAATACTGTAAACATAAAGTTAATTGCTGTAATTTAGAGGCAGTGATTTAAAATAAGGCAATTTAAAATTGAGTGTATACCAAAATAGTTGATTAGAATGGGGAAAAAAATAGTGTGAGCTCTTCAATTTAAATATTAAATTATCCTGGGCAGGCTGAGTGGCTCAGTTGGTTAAGAGCTCGCTCAAAGGTTTGAGCTCTGAGCAACAGCAGTTCGAGTCCAGCCGGAGCTGAGCTGCCGCTGAGCTGCCAACAGGTGGCAGGATGGCTCAGCTAAAAAAAAAAAATTAAAAAAAAAATTAAATTATCCAAGTAAGATTTCTATTATTTATAATCTGAACAGATACTCAATATTGTTTCTACAAATATAAAACAAATACATCTTGTCTTAAGCAAACCTGATATGTGAAAATTCAGATTTACTAAAAACAAAAGATTACAATCATTGGTGATATTTACTTACTTTATAAAAGAAATAACTTAAAAAAAAATAAGTCTTACCATATATACATATACAGTGGAATATTATTTATCCCAAAAAGGGAAGGGTATCCTGTCACATGCTACAATATGGATGAACCTGGAAGAATAAGTAATACTTAATACAGCTACATGTCTGTAAAATCCTATTACATTCCTATAATAATGAATCAGGGTGAGGCTTTTCCTATCAGCCTTCAATATTTGAGTCACAGAACATGACTAAATAGCTAACAAAGAAACATACGAGCTATACTGAGTCAGAATATAAGGCTCTTTTTTATTACTGTTTATTTTCATCAAATTTTGCTTTCAAAACACTTACCTCAATGGAACTGGCTATATTCAAACATTCCTCCATTCCAGGAATATCCAACTGAATTATTCGAAAATCTTTACATTTTATGATGATGGTACCCAGTGGTCCCACAAATCTGTAAAAAATTATAAATTATACTTAGGAACATATGCATATATATTTCTAATGTTAGGCATATGGTTATTTCTTTGAAAAGAGAATGTAATTATAATCACCATCTATATTCAGCTTCTCCCCAATTAGTCTGATTAAGGAAGAGTAAAGCCTGCATCATAAAAATGTGAGCCATAAATTATTTAAAATACAGGCTAACTCATTTAACAGAGATTATTTGGGGCCTTCAAAGAATAGCAAAAAACGATCTATAATGTATTATTTGTATAGAGATATTTCTGAAGCATAGGGAAACGGTTCATTTGAGATTTTACTTACTGCCAAGCTTGCAGCAGCTGATTTTAAATGTAACTATTTTTCGGTCTTTAAATGTAACTATTGCAAGATATAACTTGCAATATCTATTCTAAATCAATACCATATCTAATCATAAATTTTGTATCAGTAAGTTTACAAATTTTGTACAAAATTAATTTTACCTTAGTTGTGATTTTTAAATAAAAGTTAGTATTACTATAACAGTAGTTTATAACTGCATTTTTTGTTTTCTACATGATTTAACAGGTTAATACACTTAAAGAGTAAAATACAATTACTAGTATAAAAGCTAATATTCCTATATTACTGTAACTTTGGTTGGTAACTCCAAATTTTGTTTTCTACATAGTTAAGAGACTAATGCATTACAAGAATTATTAGTTTATGTTGGGGGCACAAAATATATAAAGATGTAATTCTGTGACATTACCAATGGAAAGGATGGGGACAGAGCTGTAAAGGAGCAGAGTTTTTGTATATTATTGAAGTTAAGCTGGTATAAATTCACATTAGAATGTTAAAACTTTACGTTAAATGGAATCCCCATTGTAATCACAAAGATAATAGCTGTAGACTATACCCAAAAGTAAATGACAAAGGAATTTAAACATTTCTCTACAAAAAATCAGCTATATACAAAAGAAGACAGTAATTCAGGAAATGAGGGACAAAAAAGCTGTAAGGCAAGAAAACAAATAATACAATAACAGAAGTCCCTCCTTATCAATACAGTAAGTCCCCACTTAAAGTCATCGATAGGTTCTATGACTTTAAGTGAAATGATGTGTAATGAAACCAATTTTACCATAGGCTAATTGATATAAACAAGAGTTAAGTTCCTAAGGCATCTATCTAATCAATGTTATAACAAAATGTTGAACAAAATGATATTTGAGGACCTGTTATAAGCACTTTAAATGTACATGGCTTAAACTCTACAATCAAAAGACAGAGATTGGCAGAATGGGTAAGAACACATGATCCAACTATATGCTGCATTATAAGGGACTCAGTTGAGACCCAAAGACACAAACAGGTTGAAGGTGAAAGGGTAGAAGAAGATGTTCCATGCAAATAATAATCAAAAGACAGCAGGGGAAGCTATACTAATATCAGACAAAATAGCCTTTAGATAAAAAAACGATTACAAGAGACATAGAAGGACATTATATATTAATAAAAGGTTTAACACAGCAAGAAGATATAACAGTTATAAACATTTATACACCTAATGACAATCAAAATATATGAAGCAAAAACTGAGAGCTGAAGGGAGAAATAGTCTAAAATAATAGTTGGAGACTTCAATATCCCACTCATAATAATGCGTAGAACCAGACAGAAAGATAAGTAAGGAAATAGAGGACTTAAAGAACACCATATGAAATACATAGACATACACATGCTACCCAACAACAAAACACACATTCTTCTTAAGTGCCCATGGGACATTTTCTAGGATAGATCATATGTTAGGCCTCAACTCAAGTCTCAATAGATTTAAAAAGATAGGTATCATACAAGGTACAGGCATACCTCAGAGATATCACAGATTCGGTTCCAGACCATGGTAATAAAGCAAGTACAGGCACACTTTGGAGACACTGCAGTTTTGGTTCCAGATCACCATAATAAAGCAAGTATTGCAATAAAGCGAGTTGTAATGTTTTTGTTAGCGGAGGGCCTTGACTTCGATTTGTAAAAAAATGCAACAACTGTAAAGTGCAAAAAAAACAAGGTTTGCCTGTATCTTCTCTGACTACATGGGATGAAGTTAGAAATCAATAAAAAAAGGAAAATTGGAAAATTCACAAAATTGTGAAGATTAAAAAAACACTTTTAAACAACCAATGGATCAAAGAAGAAATCACAAGGGAAGTTAGAAAATACTTAGAGACAAATGAAAACAAAGCCACAACATTACAAAACTTACAGGACACAGCAAAAGTTGTATATATTATATATAGATATATTATATAAATCCATTTGATAAATAATAAACCAGTCAAAGATGGGTTGTTAGATGGTTTAGTAAAATAGACTTGCTACATGGAGAAAAACGAAGTTGGGTTCTTATCACTCAAAGGTACAATCCAAACAATTAAAGACCTAAAAATGAAGGCTAAAACTATAAAGCTAATATAAATGTAAGAGAATATCGAAAGATAGTGATCTTGGGATAAGGAAGGACTTCTAAAATAAGAGTTAAAAACCACAAAACATAAGTAAAAAATTAACGTATTTTGCATTAAAGTTAAGGACTCCTGTTCAACAAAGGATGCCGTAGGAAAGTTCTCAAATAGGTGAGAGACTAGGTGAAGACATTTGTAATGTCTAAGTGAAGAATTAATATCTAGAGCGTATACAAGGAATTGGTACAAATCAACACGAGAAAGACAACAAACCCAGTTTTAAAAAGTGGGCCAAGGAAGTTCACAGGACATTCACAAAAAGGAAAAAAAAATGTAACTGAAATTGCTAACAAGTCTATAAAGAAATACTTACACTCACCAGTAATTAGAGAAATACAAATTAAAACAAAGAAATACTACTTCACAATCATCAGACAGGCAAAAATTAGGAAGACAGTAATACGAAATGTTTGTTAAGAATGTGGTGGAAATAGTGACGATGGTGGGAGGGCAAAGTAGAATAGTCTACATTCTGGCTCAGTGCCATCCTGGACACAGTGTGGGCAAACTCTCGCACAAGACTGTAATGGGAACCGAATGAGTATGTTTATCAGAGTTGTTTGTCATAACTGGGAGTTGGAGTTTTCTAAAGGGTCAGATAAGTAAAATGGCGTAGACATTTTGGAATCCTATGCTGCAGTCAGAAGCAGTGAAATGGATGTACATACAACAGAATGAAAAGACCCTGAAACAGAGTACTGAGTTGAAATGTTGAGAAATAGAACAAGATCTACAACATAATCCTACTCAGGTAAATTAAACCCACACATGCATGTGTGCACACACCCACAGACAACAGTGCTATATATTTTATAGGAATATACATATATCCAAGGAGAGACAGCAACACCTAATGTAGTTACCTATAGGGATTGAGGATGAGGTGGAAAATGGGAGTGAAAATTAAGGGCTGAAGAAGATTAAAATTAAAAAAAAAAAATCAAGAAAACCTTGTAATGAATCAATCATGGAAATGATGAGTCATCAACTGTAGGATTAACTCAACTTTCTACGTCTGAGGTCCATAAAAAGAAAAAAAAGTATAATTGTAAAACGTGTATACAACCTAGTTTACTGAAAGGATCAAATAAAATTATGTATGCAGTGCACATGAAAGTATTTTACAAGCTCGTAAAGCATTATTCAAATATAAGTTACTACTCCATATAAGAGGGCTTGTCTTCCTTTTATGTGACAGAACTTAGTTCACAGAGGGTGAGTAGCTTGTCCAAGGGCACCTGTCTAATAAGAGGCAGAACTGAAAGAGGCGTGCTGAATACTGCTCTTCATCTCACAACCCACTTACAATTCACAAACAAGGCATGGCAGCCCAGCCTTCAAACTACATCCTAAATCTGACTGCTTCTGACCGTACTGCTACTGCTTCCACTCTAAGTCATCATCATCACCTTTTACCCCAACTATACTCAATAGTCTCCTAACCGGGCCTGCTGCATCTACTCTTGACCCTTTACAATCCATTTTCCGTCAGCGGCCAGAATCATCTAAAAAGTCCATCAACTGCTACTTCCTTGCTTTCAACTCTTCAAGGGCTTCCCATGAACACCATCACAATGGCATATGAGGCGCTACATGATCAGACCCCAGTTTGTCCCTCCAACCACAGTTTCTGCTGTCCCGCTAGCCTCCATCCCTTGCTCACACTGGCCTCTGTTCTTCCTTGTACATGCCAGGCGTGTTTGTTTCACGTCTTTGCATTCGCTGTTCCCTGGCTGAAATACTGTCTCCTTTGATAGTCACTTTACTAGCTTTCTCCCTTCATTCAGATGTCATTCATTCAAATGTCATTTGTCTTGTCTGAAATTCTTTCTAAATACACTGCCTCTTGGCATTCTCTATCCTTCCATCTGCCATTATTTTCCTTTCTGGCACTTATGACCTGACATTGTTATATATTTGTTGATTTATCTGAGTGTCCATCTTCACCACTAATACATAAACTCCTCATCCATCCTATACAATACTGCATCTGCAGAGCCCCAACAGTGCTCAGTACTTAGAAGATACATAGCAGTAAATATTTCTTGAAAGCAACAATTAACCTCTGATCTGTCCACCCAGCTCATGCTCTTTCCAATACATTGTTCTGTTTCTTAGGAAAAAGATAAATGTGCGTACAGTTTGTCATTTATCCTCTAACAGATTAAAAGGTGCATGTCTTATATACTTCCTTAAACCCTACCAGGCCCAGCATGTAGTAAATGCTAGGTAAATATGATGAAATGAAAAGAGTGAAAAGCAACCATAAATAGAGGTAAAAAAGAAAGAGAGTTGATGGCACGGAGAAACTCTAATTTGTATTCTATGGCACCACTGACCATTCAGTGGTCAATTCTTCTTTTATTTCCTATGTGCCTATCTGCCCAAGCCACAGTTAGGAGTTTTTTAGGAGATAAAAATTAACCAAATATGAGTCTTGGCTTCAAGGAGCTAACATATATGTAACTATCCAAATACAAATTGTAATGTACACTTATGAAAGAGGTATAATTACAGAGCTATAGGATTTCAAGGTGAGGGGAATTACTTCTAGTTGTGGGATTAATACTGGCATATGTGAAAAAGGTGGCCGTTCAAACGGTTAAACTGAATAGTGGTAGATTGGTAACTGTTGGATGATAGCCTATAAACTCCTAAAAGAGCTATATTTTACTCATCTTGGTGTCCTTAATACCTCACAAAATATCTGTAACGTAACAACATTCAATGAATGTTTAAGAAACTTGGGAGGAGCAAGGCATTCCAGGTAGAAAGAACATCAGTATAATACAGACATGAGAGAATGCAGGACATAGGTGAGCAAAAGTAAAAAGTGAGGACTGGCTAGTAAAAAAATGTTCATGAAAGGGAATGGCAAGAACTAAGGTGGGAAAGGTAGGTTAGGGATGGAACGTGGAGTGCCATGAATGACAGACTAAGGGGTTTAGACTTCATTATGCAGGCAAGGCGAGACCACTGAAAACTGTTACCCAGGAAGCGATTTGGGGAATCTAATAGGAACCCTCTGTTAGAAAAAAAAAAATCTATTACCACTTCGTCTATAGTGCTTCAAATTCTACCATTAGAAATTATTTTCTTTTAAAGCAAAACCTCGCTAGGAACCTTCTTAATATCGAAATTCTCTTGAGAGGTAATAAAAAAAGCTACTGTCATTCCCTTATACTTTAGTGTCAATTGGATAATCTACCTTTTCCTGGCTAAAGTAAGTACATAGTCATTGGGAAAATGGGAATTTTGACTGCAGATGTAAATATAACCTTTTTTTACTGAGATACTACCTTGGAAAGACAGAGTCTGGGGTGCAAAAGAAATTCCTTTGCTTAAGTGCCAACTCTGTCCTTTCCAAAAGCAGAACTGAGGAAACCCCACAGTGGGAAGTATAAAATGGATGACCCAGTAGGTAAAAAATAAGGAGAAATATGACCAACTGAACGTTTTTCAGAGAAAGAAATGGTTTTGTGGACTTTACATACTAGATACTGAGTTCTTTTGAGTTTTCTTTCCTCCAAGGTGGCAAGTAAAGACTTTACCTAAATCACATTCAATCACAACTTCATGAACTGTGATGGACAATTAATATTCAATGAATATGATGGTACAAGGAGAAGAAATTTTAAAAAGAAAACGTCGAAAATTCACCAAATAGTGTTATGTACCAAAAATGAGAATCAGGGTGATCACTGCCATGTGATAACCCTGAGATTACCATCCAGGTTTAACAGAAACCAGGTATCTCATTTAGATGGTTTTATGCATTCTAAAATTCAAATCCTCAATCTAGGCCAAAGAGGGCTCACTTTCCCGGCTGGTTAGGCGATAGGAGGCAAGGAAAACATTGGGACGCGTTTCCTCAGCCGTTCCTAAGGACCCCTGGTTCCCTGAGGAACGGGGTGGGATGAGCACTCACCGCTTGTCAATGGCGTCGATGTTTGAATGGAGAAGCCACAACTCCTCCGTGTTGTCCTGCCGGGAGGACAGGATCAGGTGGTGGCCAGTCAGGCACAAGGTCCCCTCAACGGCTGGATAGAAAGGCCGGTGCAGCACCACATTGTCCACCCGTGGGGTCTTAATCAGCTCCGCAAACTCCATGTTCCCCAGCAGCCGGAGAGCCAGGGGACTGCTGCGTCCAGGAGGTGGATGGCGGTTACCCCGCCGCAGGGCTGAAGAAGAGAATGACCCGGCGCGGGGCCGACCGGAGGGGCGGGGTCCGGGGCGGGGAGGCCGGGCCCCGCCCCAGGCTGGGGTGGACTAGGCGAGGCCTGTGGCCACTGTCACTGGGTGCAGGAAGATCGGGGCTCGGCCCGGCTGGGGTGTCTTTCCCGCACCTCCCGGTCCTCACAGGCAGAGACAACACCCTGCGGCAGGCCAAGCAGCCGCCGCCGCCGCCACCTGGAGACCCGGGTGGACGGGCTGAGGGGAGAAAGAGAAGGCCGCGTTAGGGCCAGTTTCTAAGCCCCAGCCACCAGGGACTCCTGGCGGAAGTGGCTGCTCGCAGCCGGGGCCTAGAGCAACTCCGGGCGGAAGCCGCTCGGCTCGAAACTCGGAAGACAGGAAGTCAGAGGTGGAAGTCGGTCCTTTCCTCGGTCCGATGGGAATGCCTCCGGAAACACAGCCAGAGTCGAAAATTTGTGTTCCTACAAGGAAAAAGCTCTCCTTTACCTTCAGACCCGCCGCTGTACCCCGACACCGCTCAAATATTTGGTACCAGAAAAGGCCGGCGAAGATGGGACGAGGAGAAGAGGTCCCAGACTTGCCTCCCTCCGCTTGAATGGTAAGCCCTCCAAGGGCTCTTCAGAGCGTGGGGCTGCCGTAAATTGTGGCAGTTTTCACCCATTCGCTGTGACGACATTGCAAGTGTGGGATCGAATCAGTGATTTGTGTCCCCAGAGAAGACGCCAGGTGTGATGAGGGCGAGACGCTTCAGACTCCCAGAGAGCACCGCACGAAGGTGCTGTGACCTTGAACAAGAAAGGAAAAGCATCCAAACACCTATGAGACGGACCTATGCAGAAGTACATACGATGCACAGAAGAAGTGATTAATCCTATCCTGTAAAGAAGCTCGAGTTGACTTGCTAAAACACAAGCTGTAGCAGAGACTGGACTTCAATTTAGATCTGTGAAATCCAAGGCATTGCTCACCACCACCAAGCGTCCCCATTAAATACAATCCAACTGAGCTATTCCCAAATACCTAAATTATGCCAGAAACTTACTCAAATAATGTTTTCCTTGCTTGGTGCCTCCCCTTTGAAAATGGCGTTTTCATTCTAAAATGGAGAATTAGAGGGGAAATATGCAAGTGGAGCCCTGGTCTACTGTTACTACTTAACAATCCTCACCATCTACAGTAGCACAGCAAATTGGCTAAAGTTTCGCAGCAAAGACACAGTTAATGCCTCAGATCTCATCAGAACACCCAACACGTTTCTGCTTCTGTCCTTGCCCTTCCTAAACTGTTTACTTCTTAGAAAAACACCTTAAAAGATTATTACAACTGAGAGTCCAGTTTATTTTAGTCATCTGCAAAAGAAAAATTGGACCCAACAGAAAAGGGGGAATGGCTTATAAAGTTATTTTTTTAATTGGAATTCTTGTTGTCCTTCCACTATGTGGTTCATTATAACAGTTACCAATTGTGGAAGGAAGAATTTATTCCAGAATGAAGAATCAGTCAGGGAAAGCTTTATGGAGAAGCTTTATTTGAAAGGAGATCTTTGAACGATGAGTAAGATTTATATCCTGAATGGAGTATAACCAACATAGATGTTCAGTTTAATGATATCTACTAGAGGTAAGGAAAAATTCTTCAGAAATTTTATTACCTTTTTTCTTTTTAGTTAGTCTGTGTGTGGGGGGGAGGAGCCTATGAAACATCATTGTTTCATTAAATTTAAACATGTTCAATATTCCATAAAGGCATAAACAAACTCTTTTTACCCATGAGAGAAAACTATCAATATCATGCTGCATTCTTATAACAAAATACCAGAAACTATTAGAAAATTGAATCTACTCTGGGTTGAAGCTTAAACCATGGAAAGCCCTTGAGATCTGAGGAAACAAACATTCAGCAGTAAATAGGGGTGGCAAGGGGTACAATGTGTTAACTTACTACATGAACAGCAGATGGCAGTAGAGTTTGACAGTAATGAGCAAAGTTTCCATTCCATTAAAAATCAACAAAACTGTAGTCAAACAAGTTATTATACAAACCGCCTGGATAAAAGGGTCTCAGAGGATTCTGATAAACCAAAGAACATATTAGCATTTGTAATGCATGTAAAGCACTCAATACCTTACAAAATTTTATTATTTTTATCATTTGATGAGATAATAAGTAACATTGATATATAATCACCAAATGTTATTCTATCAAATAGTCAGCTGGCATGTATTAATTGCCTACTTGATCATCAGCACTCTTGGAAATGGAAACAATAGATTTGATAAGGCTCTTGCCCTCAGAGTAATAGCTAATTTGGGAACGCCAACACACACCACACAACTAATAAACAAAATAAGAGAGTAAGTGCTAAATTTTGAAGTACAGATTTGCTTTCCTGGTTTTGTGTTTCTCTGCTAGGCCTTGAGTAGTTAGTATAAATCGAGGCAGTTTGAAGAAAGCAGGCCAACCATTGCCACAAGTAGCAGGAGCATCTAAGATGGAGAAGACCATGCCTATGTGTGCCATTGATGAGTAGCTATTCTCCATGTTCTTTGTAATTGTATGTTGACTGTAGACAGCTCAAATGAACCTGTTAACCCCATGCCTTATCTTTCTTGTGGTCTCCATTTCTTTTATTCCCCCAAGAAAGTCAATCACCATTGTATCTTTTAATAGCTCTTGAATTCCCCCACTTTTCTTTATCCCCAAAGTCACCTACTTCAGGCTACCATCATTTCTCATCTACTGTTACTTAACAAGAAAAGCCTCTCAGTTAGCCTCCTTTTCTTCTAGTGGGGTTCCCCTCCAACCCATTTTTCCACTTGGCAGCTAAAGCCCTTTTTACTGTTCTAAATTTCTTTTTTTCCCCTTAAATTTTAAGTCCCTTTGTGATTTACCCCCTTAGGCAGTGATCATCATTGCAGATCTCATCTCTCCTACTCTCTCTACCCAGCATAACAGCCCGCAAACCCCCATTCCTTGCAATTTTCATGTCAGTTATTTTATTTTATTTTTTTTTAGCTGAGCCATCCTGCCACCTTTTGGCAGCTCAGTGGCAGCTCAGCTTGGGCCGGGAATTGAACTGGCAACCCTGTTGCTCAGAGCTCACACTCTTGAGCGAGCTCTTAACCAACTGAGCCACTCGGCCGGCCCTCATGTCAGTTATTCTTAAATAGCTCGCAGTTTCCTCTTGAGATTTTTGCACCCAGTTAGAACCTTGCTACCAAGTGGAAGTGTAGAGCAGGTACCAGCATTATCAGCATTTCCTGGGAACTTGGTTAAAAATGTTCCACTCCAGAGCTACTGGATCAGAATGTGCACTTTAACACTATTCCTAGATGATTTTTATGCAGATGACAGTTTGAGAGAGCACTGTTTTAAAGAATCTGAGTGTTCTTTCTGCCTGGTATGTATTCAGTGCACTCACAATACCTTCTCCCTTGACCTGCTCACTCCGATCATCCTTCATATCTCATCTCAGATGTCACTACCTCTAGAAAGCCTTCCCTGGTTTCCCCCCAAACTAGGGGCTCCACATTATATAAGCTCCACAACACCATGTAATGATAGTTCATACTTTTGAGTGTTTACTCTGTGTTCCAGACATGTGATGAGTGCTTTACATAGATTGGCTCATGGAGTCCTTCCACAATTTTTTGAGGTTGGTTATTCTTCTATCTGTAAGGAAACTGAGACACAGTGATCTTAATAACGTTCCCAAAGTCTTACAGCAATAAAGGTGTAATCAATATTCAGAACTAAGCTGTCGGGTACAGACACTGTACTCTTCACCACCATGGTACATCGTTACGCATAAAACCTGAGACCTCCTTGGTTAGTCTCTGATTTTACCACTTAATAAACTGTATTGAAATAGACCTCTTAATAAACTGTATTGAAATGGCCATAACATTCCAGCTATGTAATCTCCTTGAGAGCAAGGACTATTTCTTGATTGCAGTACACCCAGCATTTAACTTAGGGCCTATACACATACATAGTAGCCACTCGATGTATATTTGTTGACTAGATATTCTGTATTTTACTTAACATATTCCAACCCGACTCCTCCCCCCGACACCAATCTGAGTGACTTTAGATATTCTTGCCGATGTTTATAGCAACATTTTGGTGAGAATAAGAGGAAGGTGGTGTTATATTGTTTCACCTTGCAGATGAAGAAATTAAAGAAGGCTAATTATTAAAAACTTATCAATGATGATAATACTGATAATCTCTTATCCTTGGTCACTGTTGTTTACAATTCACAAAATGTTTTCAAATATGCTATCACATATGGCTCACTCTATGACCTGGTGAAATAGATATGAGACGTATTGTTTCCAGCTTAGAGAGAAAGAACTGAGGCTTAAAGGGATGGTGATGTCCTTTCAATGACAAAACCAAGCAGTGAGGCAGAATCCCAAAGGCAACTCTTCTGCATCCAAAACCAGGCCCTTGCAAGCACACTAATTTAAATTAGACCTATTTTGCATTGCTTTTGTCTGTTAACGTCCTGAACTGTGAATGTGGGGAGAACACAGCCATTCTTAAGCAAGGGAGGGCTAAGGTTTCATTGCACACAGCAACAAAGGAGACGCATTGGGGACAATGATGTGATCAGTGGGTCTGTGTTCAGATACTGCATTCTAAAAGCCACATTCCCTGTGTCTGGTTCCTGCGTCTCAACAGCTGAATCACTTCATTTTTTGAGACCAGTCAGAAGAACAGGAACCTAGCACTTTGGAAGAAAGTGGCAAACGAGAAGGAAGAGGGACTGTTGCTATTGCACATAAAATAAATCAGCCCAAACAGACATCGCTCAAAACAACATCCAGCCCTTGGTAACTAGAGCTGGAATAGTGGGGGAGGGGATGCTGAATCCCTTGGAGGCTGCCCAGGCACCTCTTTCTGCAGTCTCAAGGTCTCTCCTCATGGTCTCCTTGGGAATTAATTTGGTATTCCTACTAACGTGGTGGCCTTGGGGCAGTTGGGTTGCATACATGGCAGCTGAAGTATTGAGTGAGCATTCCCCAAAGCAAAGCAGAAGCTGCATCAAGTTTTATGACTTAGACTCAGATGTCACATGATGTCACTTCCACTGCACTCTATTGATCTGAAACAGTTACAAAGTCCCACTCATTTTCAAGGGGAGAGGAGGACATAGATCCCACCTCTCCATAGGAGGAGTGCCAAAGAATGTATGCCACCGGGATGCAGCTGATAGTGAGAAACGTGTGTGAACTCAACTTCCCCTGAACATACTGGCAGCTGGAAAGAGGAATAAAGAAAACATGACAAAAGTCAGCACTCTTTTTGGCAAAGTGCTTTTCTGCTCATAGCCATAATGAAAAGAACTAATACTATGCAGTTACATGCAATTAGATATAATGAAAATAAAGAGACACATCTAAAATAAAGGCATAATTAAGTAGAAAAATTTACTAGGTGGGACTGTCAACAATGGTAACCCAGTGGTTACTGTTGGAATTTATTTTATTGTCACTGAACCTAATCAGGTTCAGTGTCCAGGAAGGCTAGGAAGTAACCTCAGTCCGCTCGCCACTCGTTTCGTGACACCTCCCTAGCTTTCCATTTCTTCTCCCCCCGCACTATTTAGGGCAAGCTTTGTATGTCATTTTAAATGTGACGTATAGTTTTGTTTTCAGTTCTTCAATTTGTTTAACAGACTATGACACCTGTTCCAATTTCCCTTCCTACGTCTTCCTTTACTTTTTTTCCCCTTTGCTTCCCTCCACAGTCCTTTCCTTTCTCATCCTATTCTGCTTCTCTCTCCCCATCTTTTTTTTTCTCACAGATGACCACTTTAAGAGGACAGATCTACAAATTTCCACAAAATGAGAAAATAGGGTGGAGGAATGGCCAGGGGCTTGCACAGAGTTAGGGAAGTGAAAAGTTACGAAGCCTTGGTAAATGCCATTAGTCTAGCTGTGCCTGTGAGCTGGCAATGATTGAAATTAGGATTCTGTCGTCCCACAGACTGGGAGACAAGGGCCCTATCCTTCCCGAGGCTTGCATTTCAAAGGAATGGGTTTCAGGTCCTGGAGAAATACACTCCCAACTTATAGGAGATACACATACATCTCAAAGGATGGAGGAAGGATTTACAATTCACAGTAGATCCCCCCTTACCCATGGGGAGTACATTCCAGGACCCCCAGTAGATGCCTAACACCATGGATAGTGCTGAACCCTAAATATACTATGTTTTTTTCCTATTCATATATATCTATGATAAGGTTTAATTTATAAATTAGGCACAGATAGAGATTTAAATAACTAATAA